CTGGTTTAGGGTGGGAGATAGCTCAGGGTGAGGACGGACCACGCTGCGTGTCCGGGCTCTGGCGTGCTGCGGCCCCGCTTGCTCTTCTCCAGTCCCGGCTGTATTTGTGTGCGGGGAGGGGCCCGTCCGGACCCGCCGCCGCAATAAAACTCCCTTTTGTCTGGGCCCCGTTCCCGCGGCCCCTCGGCTGAATGTGGCGCTGGAGAGGATTTAAATGACATGGTAATTTCATGCTGTCCCACCGGCGGCTTTGCCCGGGCGCAGGCAGCTGTTGGGCAGCGGGTCGTGTTCTCCAGCTGTTACGATAAATAACAGACACAAAGCGTATTCCAGCGCTAAGTGCCCCAAACGGACTTTCACCTTGGCAGTGCTGCCCTCGACGCCACCTCTGCCCGCCGGTGCTCCGCGCGCGCCCGGCGGAGGGGTGGCGGTGGCGATGCTCCCGGCGCGTCCCCAGGGCACGGCTTTTGTGTGCGAAAGTCTGTGATTTCTCGCGGGCCGCTGAATTTATAATGGCAGGCGGATTTCATCCCGCTCACTGGCCGCATTGTGCTGCAGGAACAACACTCGCCCTCCAGCCCCTGGCCCCGGGCGCCCGCATTTACATGACAAAGTGGGAGCCTGTGCGGCTTTGCCATGGAGAGTTGAGGTATGCAGAAGCCCCCCTGTCTCCGGCGGGTTTGGGTCGGTTTTTAATGAGGCTTCTTCTACCGAAGGGGAACCAGCACGTTTTGTTGTTGGCCCCAGAAGTGCTGCTCCGAGCTGCAGCCAGGGGCTGCTGGCGCGGGGGGCCAGGGGATGCCACGTCGGTTCCCTGGCACAGCGTCCCCCGAGCCGGGCGCGGGGCGGCTTTCCGGAGGATCGTGGGGGGACCCTGAGCGCCCCGGGGCAGGGATGTGGTGCGGGAAGGGGTGAGCCCGTCCTGCGTGTTCACCCAAGGGCTTTGGGGTCTCTCCTGCCTGGGCCGAAGCAGCCAAGGCCAGGCGAGAGCCTGTCTCCTGCGCCAGAGGTGCTGGGTGCCGTGGCTCCCGTCGGGCACTGAGTGTCACCCCTGGTACCCCCCCATGTCACTGCTCCTTGTCACATCCTGGGTAGGCACCATGTGCAGGCACTGGGAAATAATGGCTTTGTAAAAATCTTTGGATCTCAATGTAATATAGAAAGGAAAAGTCACTATCACTCCCCGTTTTGCTGGAAACGGGTGGCTGCTCCGGCTCGTCGCGTTCGAGGACGATGTGTCTGCAGTCGCCAAAATAAAGCCCTCTGAGTCAGCCCCGGGGTGAACTTTCCCATCCTCGCCGCTGGTCCGTGTCCCGCCCTGGCCTTTGCAGAGCATCTCCCCGCCGTCGCGGCGCTGCTCCCGCCGGCCGGGCTGCCCACTTACGTTATCTTGTGTTCGCAGTTTCTCGTGCCTCACGTCAAACTTCCGAGCCAACTTCTGTGTTGCTGGAGGCTGCCTCCATCTCTGATTCACGATCCTAATCGTGAGGTTTTATGTTCATAAAGCATCTGGTGATCCTCCGGCGAGAGGGTTTGTGTGGCAAAGCGTTATTTTTGGGCTGTCGGGGGTGCAGGATGGGTGTGGGACTGTTCGGTGGCCCCTCTGCAGCATGACTTCTGCCAGCCCCAAACCTGCTTCAGTGCTTCTCCAGCGCCAAAGTGCTGCCCGGCAGCTGCTGGGCTGCAGCTGCTGCCCCGTGTCCCCTCCGTCCGTGGGGATACCGTGGGCACGTGGGGATGCTGTCCTGCTCACGCACGGCTGCCGGGAGCGTCTCTGTGGTGGGAAGGTCCAGAAGAGGAGCTGCGGGTGCTGGCCTTGCCGTGGCTGCAGGGAAGGCAGCGGGAGCTGCTGTCCTCCAGCAAGTGAGCTGAGCAGTTTCTCACTTGAAAGGCAGAGCAGGGACCGGAGGCTCCAGCAGCGCTGGCAAATACCTCTTTGATTGCAAACCATGATTTAAAAATGCATCAGCTTGCAGCCAGGGAGCTGGCGATTGCCAAGAAATGTTTGTCATGTGGAGACATGAATTACACCTCGAGTAGCTCATCTGAAAATCAGTTTCTTAAAATGAGCTGCCCTGGAGCGCGGCGCAGCCGTTTGTCTCGGGGTGCTGGCAGCCGCCCTGTCCCCGAGCAGCTGCCAGTGCCTGTGGGGGTCCAAGCCCCGCGTTGGCCTCGGAGATCCCCGTCCTGCCCGTCGGACTGCTCTGAGTCCCGTGCTGCCCCTGTCTGAGGAGGTGCTGGGGCCGGGTTAGTCCCAGCCCTGGGGCTCCTGGCGGATTTTGGGGCTCTCCGCAGGGCAGAGGCAGGAGCAGAGGTTGGCTTTGTGGAAGCTGATGCCACAGTTTGGTCCCTGGATGCCCACGAGGGTCATCCGTCCCCTTGGCGTCCTGCGGTGCGGCGGCCTTCCATCGGCAGGAAAAGCCTTGCAGAAACGGGGTGCAAAAGTAAAAAGCAAATTTGGAGCTTGGTTTGCTGCTCTTCTGTTTCTCTGCTTCTGATATTTTTAGCCTGGAATTGAAATTTGGATTTAAAAAGAAAGTGGATGGGAGCAAGGGGTGCTAAGAGCACCATGTGTTCAGGAGCTGAAATTAGAGCCGGGCTGCTGTTCGGGGCGACTTGGCCAGTTGGCCACCCAGATGGAGCCGCCGAGCAGCCACGCACTGCGCTCCCCGCACCCGGCCCAGCTGGCCGGGACCTCGCGGGGTCTGAGAAATGGAACAGAAGATGCAAACTGGGATGGGTGGAGACGGGCAAAGCGGGAAGCGGGCAGGGAGGGCAGATCTCGCCTCGGGGAGCAGCGGCGCTGAACGCTGCTGCCTTGGCAATGCTTTTAGAGGCCGCGGAGCCCTGGGGTGCTGGCGGTTCGGTCCTGAGGCCGAGCACTGGTGCCCATCCTGTGCCTTTGCCAGTAGGTCTGTGTGATGGGCTTTGGCAGAAACCGGTGCTTCCCTCTTCACACGTCTGGGGCCCGTGCTGCTTGAAGAGGGGATTTGGAATTGATTTTTTTGGTTTGCTACCTCCCACAATCCATAGGAGGTTTTCATCAAACTGGTTTTAATTTTCTCTGGTTTTTATCACCAACTTCCCTGGAGTTAGCCTTACTTATCGATGTGACTTTTGTTGGGTTTTTTTCTGAACAGCAGTTGAGAATTGTGTTGGGGAGGGGTCAAGGATAAAAGGAAAGTTCAGGTACTTGGGACTTGAGTTATCCTGCAACCTGGAGTTTGAAACCCCATCGTTAATAACCAGTATAAACCCGAAGTGAGCTGTTATCCTGCAAAATCTAGCAGTTAAATAATCGCATACTGCAGATGCAATAACACGTTTCCTGTTTCTTGTGGCATCCTCCCTCCCGCGGCGAGTTGAAATTTGCTGGAGGATGGAGGGGAAACGCACGTGTCTGCAGGTCCCTGCCGAGGCAGCATCCAGGGAATGGTGTCCCCTGGAGAGGGGCAGACCTCAGCTCCGTGCCAGTGGAGCTGCCATAGCCCGTGCCACGCGAGGCAGCGGGGCCACTGCCGGCTCCTCAGCCTCTTGCTTCACCCCCAGCAGAAGTCCTGGGTGTCGCCAGGGCCATATTTCTCCGTATTTCTCCCCCCGGCACAGACGTTGTCCCTCGCCTCCTCCTGCCGGGCAGAGCCTCCCCATTGTGCCGGCGTTGGCTTGTAAATCAGCGGGACAAAGGCTGCCTGTGCTGCCGGGGCGTCCCGGCTGAGCTCCCCGCCGCAGGACCACCCTGGCGTGGGGGCAGAGGGTGCCTCAAACCCTTTCCCAGCTAAAACCAGCCCCGGGTGTTCTGTGAGCTGGAGGAAGATGCGTGGAGGCAGGGGTGGAGTGTATCCACCAGCCACAGCTGGCAGATGGAATGGCGAGACCGCTCTGTTCGTGGCAAAGCCCCTGGGCAGCGTTAGAGGGGAGCTTTCTCCTTTGGGGCTCACAACAGTTTCCCGTTTCTCCTCACTCCGTGACCCAGCAAGTCCGGAGCCGCCTCCCGCTCGGCGCTGGGGAGGTGTCAGACCGGGGCTATTTTTGGAGCTGCCCTTACAACAAAGCACCGGAGCCCAGCGCGGGTCAGCTTTGATGTCGCCGTTGCTGCCGCGCAGGCGATGCTCGGCCCCCGCTGCCCTTGTTGGTTGGCAAACACCATCCCGGGGAAGGGGGTGCTGGGGGTGCCCCGGGGAGAGGCTGCCGGAGGGTTTCCTCCCGCGGGGGCTGGGGAGAGGGTGGGCAACGCAAAGACACTGCAGCCCTGGGAGGGCTGCCCTCGGTCTAAGTGTACCTTCACAAACTCAACGTGCCGGCGTCTCCCACACGCCTCAGGCGAAGGTTGCTGCTGCTGCAGCCCCAAACGTGTCTTTTTGTTGCCCATCCCTTCCCCAGCCCCTGCGGGAGGAAACCCTCCGGCAGCGTCTCCCCGGGCTGGAGAGTTTCTTGCTGTTCTGGTTGTTTGCATATTGCGACGTTTCTTGTGCGAAACAGAAGTTGAAGTGCAGGTCTGCGGCAGCGGAGCGGGCGCTGTCAGAGCTCTTTTAATGTGGACATCAGGTACAATCTGCCCTTCGGTGTCAGGAGAACCGCGTGTGGCCGCCTGTCCCTGCATCTGGCCAGGGAATTGAGGTTTGCCAGGACATGGGGGTGCCAGTGGTTGGGACGGGCAGTGGGAGTCCTTTGTCCCCCACAGGTCTGTCCTGCAGCCACGCATGGCCCCCGTTCCTTTCCCGAAGGCAGAGCCGAGGTTATTTACCTGCCGGGGGATGGTTGGACATCGGCGGGGCGCAGGGCTTGGCGCTGCCCTTTGGCACTTGCCAGGCGGTGCCCAGGGAAGTTGTGTCCGGCTGTCCTGGTCCGAGTCCGGCCAGCGCTGCCTCCTGCCAGGAGTGGGAGCGGTGGGAGACCCCCAGGTTTGGGATGGGGTGACAGGGAGCGCCGTGACTCTGCGCTGTCTGTCCGGGCGCGGGGTTCCTCCCAGCCCTCCTGACCCGTTTTCTCTCCCCGCAGCTGCAGGCGCATACCTGCCACCCTTGCAGCAGGTCTTTCAAGCGCCGCGGCGGCCCGGGATAGGAACTGTTGGGAAACCCATCAAGCTCTTGGCCAACTACTTTGAAGTGGACATTCCCAAGATTGATGTGTATCACTATGAAGTGGATATCAAACCCGACAAATGTCCACGCAGAGTCAACAGGTAAGGCAAGTATTAGAGGTTTTGGCACATGTTCCCCGCTTCCAGTTTCCTTGTGGAGGCTCCCTAAGTGCCTGTCCCTGTGGGCACCAGTGGAAGCCCCCCTCGGAGTGACATGTGGCCCCACCAGCCCTGTCTGTGCACAGCGCTGGTTCCTGACAGCTGCGGAGGTCCTGAACCTCAGCACAGGCCCCTGCTTCTTCAAAGCAGCTGCGCGATTTTGGCAAGAATCCTGTATTTAAAAATAGCAAGCCCTAGACCTTGGGCCATCGCGTACTTTTCTGTTCTTTGTTTTCCTTTTCGGTGTCCTGTTGGTGGCCTCGCAGCCTGGGTAGCTCTGTGCCCTGAAGGCCGGCGAGCAGATGCTGCAGATGCTTTTGGTGGCCGCGTGCAGCGAGTCGCTCCCTCTCGCCCTCCTGGCACACACGGCGGGTTTGCGGCTGGCTCCGGTGGTGCCCGTTCCTGTGTGCCGTGTCAACTCATTCTGCCGCAGCCGATGCAGCCTGTGGCTGCCTGGCCCCCTGCCCGGGGCGTGCCCTGTGGCTCAGAAGTGCCCCTGGGGAGGGGGGCTGGGGACGGGGCAGGCCGCAGAAGGTGACGGGTTGTAAAGTAACCAGCAAAACAAACCTCACCCCTCTCTTCCCCCTGCCCCTCTTTCTTGCCCCACTCGCCTGCGTAGGGAAGTTGTGGAGTACATGGTACAGCACTTCAAACCGCAGATCTTCGGCGACCGAAAGCCTGTCTACGATGGGAAGAAGAACATCTACACTGTCACGGCCTTACCCATTGGAAATGAGCGGGTAAGGGGGGGCAGGAGCCCCGTGCAGGCAGCGTGACCTGCCTCCTGCTGAAAACAACCTCCTGCCCTTGCGCCTGCGGGGGGGCCATGATGGCTTCCCTCCCTTCTGCACCCAGGTTGACTTTGAGGTGACGATCCCAGGGGAAGGCAAGGACAGGATATTTAAGGTCTCCATCAAATGGATGGCCATCGTGAGCTGGCGCATGCTGCACGAGGCCCTGGTCAGCGGGCAGATCCCCGTCCCCCTGGAGTCCGTCCAGGCCTTGGATGTCGCCATGAGGCACCTGGCTTCCATGAGGTACCTGTGCTGGGGGGCGGCGGGGCCGTGCGGAGCGGGGACCAGCTGCCCTCGGCCAGCAGTGGTGGCTGGGACTGGCCTTGATGCTCTTCAGGGGGAGGTGGCCGTGCCTGCCGCCCCGCTCCGTGCGATCGCTCGGGGTGCTCCTGCGATAGATAAATGGGGTGAACGGTGGCTTGGGGGGGGCTGGGGGCGCGTCACGGTCGCTGCCCTGTGCTGTTTGACGCCGTTTTCTAACGGGAACCTGCTGTAGCCTTTCCAACTGCAGGCAGTAAAGGCTTTGTACGCTCGCCATCAGTTAGCTCTGACAGTCCTAATGTGCTGTAGAAATGTGCTTGAAACACTATAGGCAGAGATGTATCAGAAATAAATGATCGAAGTATTAAATTTCTTGTTTTCTCAGGTACACTCCCGTTGGCCGCTCCTTCTTCTCCCCCCCCGAAGGTTACTACCACCCCCTGGGAGGGGGCAGGGAGGTCTGGTTCGGTTTCCACCAGTCGGTCAGACCTGCCATGTGGAAGATGATGCTCAACATTGACGGTGACTTATTTTTCCTGCTGGGGATCTGTGGCGGGGGGGCTGGGGGTGTTTGGGGAGGCTGGATCCGCCCGGCTCCCGGGCCAGGTCCGTCTGCTGGGAGAGAGCCGAGACGCATCGTGGTACCTGTCCCGCAGTGTCGGCCACCGCCTTCTACAAAGCCCAGCCCGTCATCGAGTTCATGTGCGAGGTGCTGGACATCCGGAACATCGATGAGCAGCCGAAGCCCCTGACGGACTCGCAGAGAGTGCGTTTCACCAAGGAGATCAAAGGTAGAGCCCCTGGGGAGTGCTGGGGGACCTGGCCCCGGCCCCTGCGGCGAGGTGGACCTACAGGGGTTGCACATTTAAAACGTTACGTCCCTTGTGCGCTTCACCGTGAGCGTACCTGCTCTGCAAACTGCTTGTTATTTAAGGGAGGTGTTGGCAGTGTCCCGGGGAAGTTGGGCGAAGGGGCATCGCTCCTGCCTTTGCCAGTGACGCCGCTGCGTCTCCCTGTCTCACACCAGGTCTGAAAGTCGAGGTCACCCACTGCGGGCAGATGAAGAGGAAATACCGTGTCTGTAACGTTACCCGGCGGCCGGCCAGCCACCAGACGTAAGGCGGGTGGGAAGATGCCCTTGGAAAAATCTGAGCTCTTCTCCTTTTTAGCAGCTGCTGGTGTCGTTAGGGAGAGCGGGAGGGGAAGCTCCAGCCTGCGAGGGCGGCGGGAGCCGTGTCCGGCTTTGGGGCGCGGTGCAGCGAGCGGGGTGCCGGGCAGGGCGGGAGCTCAGGGGATGCTTTGCCTGGCGGGCGGCATGCTGCAGCGGGCGGGAGCTGACGTGCCAGGAGTTGCCCTAGTTTTTACCTCCGAGTTTGGTTTTCTTCTCTCTTAAAATAGACGCTGCCAAAGCAGAAGCTTTGTCTGGGGATAAAGCGATTCCCTGCCTTCAAATGATTTACGTGCCCTGGGAGCAGGCTGAGCCTGGGCACCTGTCCGGGTTGGGGGGCTGCCCTGCTCCCCACAGCCCCCCACAGACGGGGGCTGCAGCACCTGGCCGTGTGCCCTCAGCACCGAGCTGTCGGGTGCCACAGCCCACGGGTGTTTCCAGGGCTCATGGCCGAGGTTTGCCCTGGGGATTGCCCCCAGGGAGGTGTGGAAGCAAAATGGGGTTCAAGGCAGAGGCTGGGGGAGAGCAGGTGGGGCCCCCCCGTGCAGGCAGTGGAAGGAGGGGCTGCGCTCGTGCTCTCAGCTGGGTGCTCATGAGGGGAGCTGGAGGCGAGGCGGGGGATGTTTTTCAGGCTGTTCGCCCCCCGTGTTTCCGCAGTGTTTCTGGAAATTTTGGCAACAGTAAAAAAAAAAAAAATTAAAAAAACAGCCTAAAACCAAAAAAACACACCAATAAATTTTGGCTCATGCTGTACAAACCCAAGTGCCAGCAGAAAAATCTCTGCTCCCCGTTTGTGCCCAATACCAAACCAGCAGTGCCCACTCCGGGCGGCCCCGTCGGGCTGCAGAGCCCCCACCGAAGCGGGGGCACCTCCCGCGCCACAACCGCGTTTCCTCGTCACTCAGCCCCGTCTCTGGGGGAGCCTCTTGGGGCTCACCGCCTGCACCCCGCTTCCCCTGCGCTCCAGCATCTTTGGGTCCCAGCCCCGGGGCTTGACGAGCGCAGGAGGAATGCGACGCCTCGCCAGGGCCTTCGGGCCGGCTCGTCTGTCTAATTTTGGCTCCGTAAAGAATATCGGGTCAATTCTTCATTTTCCCGGAGCTCTTTCTGGAGCCGGGAGCAGCTGGTGCTGGGTGAGGCCGGGTATCACATGCTCAGGCTACAGACAGCACAGCCCCCTCAGCCCTGCCTCTGGGAAGTTTAATTTTTATTTTTACTCCCTGTGGTTGTGAAGGGAGTTGTGCCCCTCCTGCCCGCCGTGCTCTGCTCTCCCGGAGCTGCTGCCCTGTCCCGGTTAACCCTTCCCCGGGGCTCAGCCAGGCTCCCCAGGAGGGCACGAGCCCCTAGTGCCAGCGTATTTATGTACCTGACAGCGGCATGCGTGGCACGTCCTGCAATAAACATTTGCCCTGATTAGCTGGATTAGTGAGGGAGAGCTTTATTTAGGGACCTCAGTCCCACGCTGGGGTCGGAATATTCCTGACTCGATTTCTCAGAATACCACTGTTGTGCTTTTTGTTTGCTTTTATGGGAGCTCGGAGCGGGAGCTGCCAGCTCCCTCTCTGCCCAGCCAGAGCAAGTAGTGCCCGAGGTCTGAAAGTCTCTGTTTTGAGTAGGTGCATCCTTTGTGTCCTGCATCTGCCAGGTTTCCCCTGCAGCTGGAGAGCGGTCAGACAGTGGAGTGCACAGTGGCACAGTACTTTAAGCAGAAATACAACCTGCAGCTGAAATACCCCCACCTGCCCTGTCTCCAGGTTGGCCAGGAGCAGAAGCACACGTACCTGCCCTTGGAGGTGAGTGCCGGGCGCTGTGCAAAGCAAAGGCAGAAGTGGCCTTTGCTGGCAGATGCATGACAAGATTCTGTAGCTAACGTGTCCTGGGCGCTCGTTGCCTCAGTGTTGACTGTTTACTGCTGTAAAAATGCCATTTTCCTGCAGCTGCCAGCTTGGCACCTCTGGCTTGGGGCTGGCTGCCGGGCCCAAGGGCCGTGCCCGCGGGGCAGCTCAGCCGTGGTCCCCTGCGTCTCGCCGGTCCCTAACGCGTGGCTGCTGTCTCTCCCCTGCCATGCAGGTGTGCAACATCGTGGCAGGCCAGCGGTGCATCAAGAAGCTCACTGACAATCAAACATCCACCATGATAAAAGCAACAGCCAGGTCTGCCCCGGACAGACAGGAGGAAATTAGTCGCCTGGTAGGTGGCCCGAGTACCTGGAAGGGACGGGGGGACAGCGTTGGGGCTGCCGCTCTGATGGCAGATTACGGCGTCGTGTCCGTGATGGACCTTGTTGTGGTTCTGCTCCTCAGCTGCTCTGCACTGGAGAGTGGGACCTGCCCCGAAGGTGCTGGTGGGGCTCATGGCTTGGTTTTATCCCCCTCTTCTCACGGAATCCCCGGTCAGAGATGCCCACATGTGTGATATGGGCACAAAGGGACCATGGAAACTCGTGTGCAGCGACTCCAGGTCCTCATGCTGATGGAACCTGACCCAAAGGGAGCTGGAACTAAAAACAGGAAAAACAAATTAGAGAAATGGCCCCAGCGCCAGATGTCCGTGGGGACTGTGCGTTGCGGGGCTGCGGTGCCGGAGCTCCACGTGGTCAGGCTGGGGCGAGGCAGCGGAACCCAGCCCTGCAGCGCCCGGGCGGGAGCTGGTTAATGCTTCTGGTCTCACCCACACCGCTGCCTCTGGGCTTTCCAGGCCGGGGACGTTTGATGTTTGTTGTGGGACTCTTGATAACACTCTCGTCAGTCTGAACCTTCCCACAGAAACCTTAAATCTGAGGAGCAGGCCCTGCTCTCCGTTGCGTTGGTCAGTGCAGTCAGAAATCAGGCCCCCGCGGGTCGGTTTGGAGGACGGGGTTTGGTCCTTTGTGTTGAACCTCTTGCCCCCCCTCACCGAGGGGATTCAGCTCTGTAGAGAACAGGAGGTCAGGTGCCCACGTTTCCCGGCCAGCTGAAGCTCTGTGGGATGCAGCAGCTGGTGTCGCTCCCTCCCATGGCCCTTCCTTCCCTCCGCAGATGAAGAATGCCAGCTACAACCTGGATCCGTACATTCAGGAGTTTGGGATCAAGGTGAAGGATGACATGACGGAGGTGACGGGGAGGGTCCTGCCGGCGCCCATCCTGCAGTACGGCGGCAGGGTAAGCAGGGCCTTGTGCAGAGAGAAGCTTTCACACCTGGAAACGCTGGGTCTGAACAAAACTTGTGCTACCTTCAGGATTATCGATTAGAGCTGGAATTTTTTCTCACAGTGCCTTGGGTTTGTTTTTTTTTTTTTTCTGCGACATAACTCTTCTGAAAGTTGTAGGCAGGAAGCATTCAATGACAAAAGAGGGAGCTGAAGGGGAGAGGGATGCTCAGGTGAATTTTCTATCACCTTTGAGGAGCTGAGCTTCTGTCTCACCCGTCGCCACATGCTGGGGCAGCCTCTGCCGGCGCAGGGGGTTGGCTCCGGCGGGGCCGTGCGGGTGCTGCCCCGGGGGCTGCCGGCGTGGGGCCAGGCAGGACGCAGCAGCGCTCTGATCGTCCGTTTGCCTTTGCAGAACCGGGCCATTGCAACTCCCAACCAGGGCGTGTGGGACATGCGAGGGAAGCAGTTCTACAACGGCATTGAGATCAAAGTCTGGGCGATCGCCTGCTTTGCCCCGCAGAAGCAGTGTCGAGAGGAGGTGCTGAAGTAAGGAAAGGGGCAGCCTGCGCGGGTGGGGTGACGTGGGGGAGCCGTGGCTCGGGGTGCGGCCACCCTGCTGCTCCCAGCCTGGGCCTGCATGTCCCGCAGCGTTAACGCTGGCTCTGAATGGCCTGTGGTACAGATTTGACCCAGGTTCGGGCTGGCTCTTCAGTCCTGTTAGTTTATCTAGAGTGTCTGACGGCTCCTCCTGGCTGCAGCCAGCCCCTGAGCCTTCGCAGAGCCCCCCAGGTCGGGGCGAGCACGTCGGCACTGCAGCACGTGGGAGCTGACGGTCAGGCTCTCCCACCTGCTCTCTGCCTCGGGCAGCTGCAGTGTCGTGATTGATAACTGCCAGCCCTAAAGCTGTGCTGAACTCTCCTTGGCTGAACCTCCTCAGAGAGGCGGGGTTGTGAGGGATATTTAATTAGAATTTTCCCCAATACCCATTCTGAAATAATATAATTCATGCAGGAAGTATCCTATCTCACCGTGGATTTTTATTACAGAGGAGTCAGGCTTTCTGAAAAGCTTTGGGAGCTTTGAGATTCTCTGCTTCAGTAGCAAAGTGACAAGAGAGTGGGGTAAATCAGTTTATCTGATTTAGGGAAATAGTCACCTTAGGTTTGAATTCTGTTGGGCACCCGAGTTTTTCCTGACCGAGAGTGGGAGCATCGTGCACTGCGTGTGCCTCTGCTGGGTGCTGGGGATGGTTTGGGGCAGCTCAAAGTCTGGGTACCTGGGTGGAGGGGGAGTGACACCGCACTCCTCCTGTGACCCCTCTGGGGCGCTGCTGGGAACCCCATGCTCCCTCTGGTTCTCCCTGCATCAAATATATCCTTGGCAATCTGAAAATCCAGAGCACTTTGTCGGGTTTGGTAAGTTCAGGCTTGCCTCAGCTTTGCAGATCATCTGGAAATGGGGCAGGTCTGCTCCCCCTTCCCCGGCTTTCTCATGGAGGAGGCTCACAGCTCTGTCACTCTTCAGGCAGAGGGTACCAAGAGGGGATGGGTCAGCTCTAAGACGTGTTGGTCTTGCGTTTCCCGTGCCGGGCGCTCGCTGGATGCTGTAAAACCACGGACGTGCTGATGTGATGTCCTGCGCCGCAGCCCTCCAGCCGCGGTGCCCGGGCCACGCGGCGCAGCTGCCGTGCCGAAGGGCTCGGGCTGAGGGCTTCTCCTCTCGGGCACAGGAACTTCACGGACCAGCTGCGCAAGATCTCCAAAGACGCGGGGATGCCGATCCAGGGGCAGCCCTGTTTCTGTAAATACGCCCAGGGTGCAGACAGCGTGGAGCCCATGTTTCGACACCTCAAGAACACCTATTCGGGGCTTCAGCTCATCATCGTCATCCTGCCAGGGAAGACACCGGTGTACGGT